AATAATAGTTGTGGATACTTATTTATATATATATATATATATATATATATGTTATAAATATTAACTATTATTGCTTAATGTTATTGCTTATTTCTACTGTTGTAATTTTATTGCTTTATTTACTTTACGCACTTTACTCCCTGCCAATTACTTATCACATATATATATATATAGAAATATTATTATTATTATTATTAGTATTATTATTACTATTATTACTGTAATTTACTTTCTGCACTTTACTTTCTGCACTTTACTTTCTGCAATTTACTTTCTGTTTATATACTATTATTACTACTACTATTATTATTATTATTATTATTACTATTATTATTAATATTATTATTACTATTATTACTACTATTGTAAATTATTTCTGTTATTTACTGTTTTGCTTTTCCAGTTGACTTTCTGTTATTTAATGTCTTTCTTCTGTTTCTGTAATGTTATGTAAATTTCTAGTTGTAATCAAGCAAAAATCTGGATTAATTTTCTGCATTATTATATATATAAAAGAAATTGAATTACACATAATATAGTTCGATTGACCAGTCCTTGAGATCGACCCGGGAAACGAGTTTTTAACTCGGTGCTCGGAAAAATATAAAACAAAATTTGCTACAACAATTACGCTGGACCTGGGCCTACGCTGCTGGACTGCGATGGATGCCTGTGCGCTGGGCTGCGAGCCAAGCGGCTTCTGGTCGCACCTGTTTGCGGCTGCGGCTAACCGACGCTTGCCTGCCCGACCACCCTGGCCGATCGCCGTCAAACTTTGACTGGAGGGTCATCAGAGATCGCCGAAACCCATGGCTTGTGTCGCCGGTTGATTTCGAGACATTCGGTAGACATAATACTCAGATTACATGACGAACGGACAACCCCGCAAATTACAGAAACATTACGGGGTTGAGTATATATATTTTACAAGGTTATATATTACCTCAAACCTTCTGTTGTATGACCCGACATTTTCTCTGATCATCTTAGTGGGCGATGAAGTCGGAAATATATCTACTGGGATTACTTGGCGAAGAAGAAGAGAAGACTAGATGAGAGATAGAGGGGGCGGCAGTTTTCACCATGTAGAACAGTAAATCTCGTCCAAATCATGTTTACTAATTCCAAAAGAAGTGATGTATTTATAGGCTACAACAGGGACCTTAAGGAAGCATTAAGGGCTTCTCCTATTAGGACTGGACTGTAGGCCAAGCCTACCAAGCCCGATAGGAATAATACAGTCATTCTACTATCATATTATTATTGAATTAACTTCTAATTTAATTCTCGAATTATATTCTAGGCTCCAATAATAGTTACTCGATTTATCTCCTCTTGTTTAAGATATAATGTCTATTCATTAATTTAATTACTGATAATTAAATTTATCGACTTCTATAACCGAGACTAGTACGACTCAAATCTTTATTATTATGTTGGAATAAATTCCACTGGTCAGATTTAACATAATAATCCTTCATGAGCTCATCTCGGCAACATCATCAAAATATCGCACACGGTGACCGTAAATATTTGAACTACACACCATACATATAACGCTACTACCCAAAGCACGAACACTATCGACCTAGCAAAATGGATCTCGCTTTTTGTGTTTGAAAGTAGCAGCTACTGGATGCGCGTGCCTGTTTATATCTTACGGTTCAAGAGTACGCAGTAATTATCCCAGACCTAGTTCTTTTACAGCGATCAGTATAAAAAGAACTTCCCCTCTCTGGGATTCGTTCAATGCACACAGTGCACTAGTATAAATAATCAGTCAAGACAAACTGAACGGTTAATACTACAGCCGTTCAGGATGGGTTATTCATACCCATCTAGGTTGTAAACCAAACATTCTTGTTTCGCAAGTGACTGATAAAATGATCTTCTGTTCACCCGCTAACGAACCATTTTATCTAATGCAAAACAATAGAACATAGAGTATTTAATTAAACATGATTCTCATTCAAACGGAATTAGTGTAAGTAACATCTAAAGCCAAGCTTTCAGCATATACACCCACAATCTCCCACTTATACTTACGCTTTTGCTTTTACTAGTATACTTCTTTCAATCTCTATTCTTAAAGAACTATTGTCCTAACTGCCACACATGCGACTCCCCAGTCACTTATCATTGTCATCATTATCTTTCGCCAGAATGCCAATTCTAAAAGGATCTTACTGGTTGTCTTCTAACGTACTAGGCGACAAACATCTACCCCTTTGCAATTTCTCGCACTGGGTTGTAATCGCTCTATGTGCTCACTTGCCTTGTTAACCTGTGATTCCTTTCTGTTTGCAATTGCACCAACTGTCATCACAATCAAATTATGATCTGACTTGGGCAAACTAGATTTTTCACATTCCTAGTCCAATAGAGGTTCTTGGATCCAAACCCTTCCATTGTTTGCTTTTCAGCATACGACGTTCTGAGTTTCCTTGGTGGAATCTGCCAACGCATTACCGTTCAACATTCCTCCAAACTTTTGGCTCCACCTCACATGTGAACAAAAATTTCGAGGTAGATTTTACTTATTGTTCATGTCTGATTAGAAATAGAATCCTTTCTAATCCATAGGCTGCATATGGTTCCTTTGGTAACTCCACATATTATCCTTAGCCTAGTTATGATCGCTTGATCATATGTTCTACGATGAACCAATAGCGTACATCTAGGATTACTTCGATATCTACCAACCTTGGCCTTGGCAATAATTGATATCAGGCCTCATTTACTGCATTGCACATACTAGGCTTCCTTTTGCCGAGCACAAGAAACTGCCTTTATGTCACGCATGCTACGAATGATCCTTATGACTGTCCATAGATACGAAGCTTGGGATAATCGCAACAATTCATTCTTGTGATCCTTGATCTCAAGAACGTGTGCTCGTTTCTCCAGATGCTTCACATCTAACTATTTTGATAACCATACTCTTGATTCTGACAACACCTTTACACTTCTTCAAGTGATCGGACTGCTGTCTACGCATAGTATAATAAATACCACCACGCTTCTCATAAACACACAATGCTCATTTGGTGACGGATCATATACATAGACTTAATAAACCAAATGTACTGGATGACAAAACTTACTCCAGCCTATAAGTGGACTGTTTTAATTTACTGACCAGAGGCTCTTAGCAATCTACAATGAATCGTTCAGGGTGCTACTCTATGGATCTTTCCACAAGACCTCGTCTTGACATCCATAATGCCAAACTCATATCTCATAACAGCCTCAGCTTAAAATTCATATAGACTCAAGTATGACTACTGGTGAAAAGGTTAACTCATAATAGATCCAATTTATTTCTGAGTTCATTATCTCACAACAAGCCTTACTTCGGAGCTTACACGAACTTACTTGTAGATTCATTAACCCTAATAGCCTTATTGCACTTGGTGGTTCTACAAGATCCTAGATCTTATTAGAGTCCAAGACCGTAAATCAGAAATCATTGTTGTTTGCTAAGTTCCTACATCTACCGTCTCGAAGCTTCTCATTGTATAAACAGAGATTTATTTCACATTCACAAGAGACTAAGTACAAAGACTTCTCTCAAGAACATTAATTCATGACTTCGTGTTTACTAGAGACTGAGTCCAAATACTCTCTCATTAGCCACGATCAATGATGATCGCTTTGCAGCGGTCCCACTACAACGAGCACCTCATCGTATAACTAGGGATTTAATTCACATTCACTGAAGACTAAATCCAAAGACTTTTCTCTAGAACATAAACTTATAGTTTCGTGTTCACTGGAGACTCAGTCCAAGACTCTAATCAACACGAACTCATGCGGTTGCCTAGAAACCCTCCCACTACGACGAAGTACCTCCGAAAAAGGTGTATTACTTGAGACGCGTGTTTGTAGTTTTATTGTGGTATAACATTTTATACATGTGGTGACAAAGTTTGAACATTCACCTTTTTCTCTCCTTGTAATGGGCTTGTGGTTTATCACTCAGTATTCCTCTAAAAATCAGGCATTCGTTTTAACGATTACCTTCTGATTCTTAGTACAAAAAATAAACCATCTTTTTCGTTATTATAGAGTATCACCAAATAGCTGATTTTTTTTTAGCTTTCATATTAAGGGGGCTTAGGTGGCTCGAGGATAGTGTACTTCGTGATCAGGGGAGGTGTTTGCAACACCTTGGTGGTCGCCCTGGTCATCACCTCGGGCTCCTTGGTTTTGTTTGGGAGAGAGGTCGACCTAGAGTGATTGGAGGCCATCAAAGCATCTACAAGAGATAAAATAAGATAAGTAAGTGAAAAACAGTAATAAGTAGTTAAATAATAAGAAGTTAAAGCCGATATTACCTAAATCAGTAAGGGGTTGTGGCTTCAATGAAGTCAGAACACATAAAGCCCGCAGTTAAGGGTCATCAGTTAGTTTGACAATGTTATAAGGAGTTTTATTCCACTTAAGATGAGTTCATTGAACGTTTTGTTGGGCTTGGATTATATGAGTTGACCAGAAAGTTTAAAGATCCACAAAAAAGTCAAAGGTGTCAGACAGAGGTCGGGCGAAGAAGTACTTCGTCTTCCAGTAAGGCACATTAGAAGGGACGTCGACGAGGAATTAATTTAGCTTTATTGCAGGCTGAAAAGTATAAGGGTCCCTTTTAGAGTTTGATCCAATAACAGTAAAAGAACATGTCGGTGTCAAGTTTTTGTGTAGAAGACAGCGACTAAGGACGATAAATCCAACTATAATTCAGATATAATTAGAGGTAAAATGGTTCAGAGGTATCCTATAAGGTCCGCTAACCTCTAGGAGGTCGTCCTGGAGGGGAAACTTGACGCCGACATAAATTTGATCTACGAAGAATGAATATAAAGTCCCTTAAGGGGTTGGTTAAAAGATTCGTCGATTTTCGGTACTAGGGGTTAAAGGATTAGGTTTTACAAGTTTGACTAGGTTAGAAATTATGGTGGCTTTTTCGCCTTCGACCATAATTACCTAGTCGGGATGTTTGGAAGAAATGGGAACAACTAAAATTGGACATGTTCGAAGGTTTGAGTAGTTATCGACCATTGAGTCAAGTCAGGGCTGATAAAAGGAGGTCTAAGAAGCAGTTTCACCGGGTACGACATTTTGGCCACGATTTGAATTTTCATATAACAAGAAAAAGGACAGGGCAAAAGATCTCCTGAAAAGCGTAAGAAAATTAAGAAAATAAGATGTTGAAGAAATCAGAAGGTAATGAACATACCCATAATCGATTGTCGCAGAATTTGTCGGGTTCGCTGAAGAATCAGAGAACTTGCCAGAGGACTAGTTGTTGGTTAAAGTATGGTCGTCGAAAATATTTTGTGCAAAAAAAGCTTGAGAATTGCAGAACCGGTGGAAAAGGTTTCTAAGGAAGAAAGGAAGCTTTTATAGACACAAGGATCTGTCAGATAAACAATAAATTGGGGGCCCTGGATTGTGGGCCAAAAGATGATAAGACATTTACACGTGGACAGTCGACGTGTCGTAGAGGTCATGGCTCGTGATCCAAGCGTGTACATCATACGAGATGTTTCTCACATTTCACACCCCCGAGGTCAACTGACATTGCATTTAATGCAAAAAGTGACAGACAGAATAGCATAGAGGACCAGCCTGAGTTGTTAGCTCGGGTATGAACAGTTCAAGGGAACTTTAGCTCGGTTTAAGTGTTTGACCTCGTCAAGGGGCTCGCTTTTGCAAGTCAGGGTACGGGTCGACCTGATAAGAAGGCTTGGAGGTCGAGCTGCTCCATGAGATCGAGTATATGAGGGGACATCAAGACCCGAAGGTTGTGAGAGTAGAGGTTGTGGTAGGTAGGTTGTTTGGTCGTTCGGACGATCTAATTATAAGCATCTAAGTGTCGTATGGTAAGAGGAGACAAAATTCTTTGAGGATGGAAAATGTATTTCGCTAAGAAGCCTGAGATTCTAGAGACGTGATAAGCTAGAAAAATATATACAGTTGGATCTCTTTGCTAGTCAGGACTCTACTTGGGCAATAAGACACTCCAGTATATAGAGTAATCATGTTCTATTTTATAATGAATGCATAATGACGCATATAAGCTTATCGTTTACATATTTTCTCACGAGCGAGTTTTAACTTGAGCGTCGGAGGTGTTTCAGCCGGGACCCCTCCCCGGCGTATTGCAAGTCATCAAAACTCGAGACAAAGTTAAATCTCCATGTAGTGATTCTCTCATATTCTGGTCCCAAGTTCCTTTTTAGTTATTGTGCAACCACCTCCCTAAATTGAACAAAATTAATTGCCTAAATTTGACTTCGTTTATAAATATGTTCCAAAATTTCAAGACGTATATATTCCAATCTCCAAGTTGAACAATTCATCGAATTTTTATATTGGGGACTTTTGGGGCTGCGGCTGGGCCCAATCCTTTTTATTAATCTGTGAAAAGGATGGAAAAAATTATATACTAAAAAACAAAGAGAGAAAACAAAAGGTACAAGAATTAGAAAGAACAAAGAATACATTTACATATATTCATTCATGTTGTTCAAGAAATTGATCGGCATTTGCCTTGTGTGTTGTTTTTTGTTACATGTTTTTTGATTATACATTTTTTGTGGATGTGTTTATTATGATTTGTAATTTAATTTGTGTGGTAAATATGAAACAAGCATATATAATGTTGAATATAGCGCAAGAAAATTTGATTACTTAATTTTGTGAAACTGAAGTTTTGGAAATAAAGTTCAAAACATCCATTTTTGGGATTCATAGACAGAAAGTACATTAGTGAATTGAGAGTCAAAATGGTGTTCAAAATCTGCAGGCGATTAAATTAAATTAACTGAATGTGGTCCATAAATTAATTTGTTGGCATAAATAGTGAAAATAATTTGCTGCTTGGTCCAATCTTCAACACCGACAAGTACAACCTGTCAACCTTTTACTTTCAAAACAATATTTTGATAATTTTTATTCCATCATTGAAAACGAGAGGCTGGCTAAATGAAGATTAGTTTTGAATGTAAACAACTAACAAACTGGTCCAGTATTCGAAAAATAAATAAATAAATGAGTGTTTAATATTTTTTTCATTTATGGGAGCCCGTTATTGGCCAATAACTGCGTGCAACTAGCAAATTGTTTCTCCACCAAATGAGGAAAATACTAAAAGTGCATGCATATCCGTGTTGTGAGGTGAAAATTTTGACTTCGAGTAGCAATAAAATATATATTACTTCCTTTTTTCTTTAAAATATTATTCTTTTTTTATCAACAATTAACTAAATAAATGACATTTTGGATCTTTTGTACATATTTTTTCATTATTACCCTCATCTACGTAATAATTATACTACATCTTTTTATATTCACTCTTCATCTTTTTTCAAAACATCTATTTCTATCCTCATTAATGAAGGTTATTATTAATAAAAATTTTTTTTAATTACCGTATAATTTTTCAATACGACACCTATTAAAAAAAAAAGGAAGTATAAGATAAAAGATGAAATATTGCAATACGTAAGCACAAATACATTACCTCGGTACGCCATGTAATAAAATTGAATTGCATTGGACTACGCAACTATATATGCAAGTCTTATAATAGGGCAATACTAGATAACATTAACCAATAAATGGCGTCATGCAAGTATTGTAGTTTGTACTCGATACTTTCCAAGTTCAGCCACGCAAAACAACATAATAAATTACCAAATATTGAGAGCATTCGTAATGGTTTCGGTATATCTTGTGAAAAAATTATATGTTATGTAGGAAGTATCCTTTACATAT